TGATAATTACTTACTTACTTATGAAGTCATGAAGTACTTACGGGCTTCACAAGAAACAACAGCTAAGGCTGAAGACCAATTAGCAGAAGTAAATTGATTAGAGTAATTAAAAACATACAGCCACATTCTGGACAAGGTTCTTCAATGTAGACATCTCGCCGGTTCAAATCTATGTGAAGAAATTAGCAACTATATCATTTATGCCTTAATATTACTGCATTCAAATGCAACGGTCTCACTTCATGCAGGCCGGTGTTCAATCCCCTACCGTCCAAGTGGTTGGGCACCATTCCTTCCCCTTGTCCTATCGCAAATCCTTATTCTAATATTGTTGTTGTTGTTTTAGATTCAGCTTCTCGGAACAAAAGTTCCAAATAGCAAGGGCTATGGTGAGCCAGTAGTGGACTTACCTGACACAGGAGCGGGGCTGTGCTATCCTGATCCCTTCCCAGTGCTATATAGTCTTGGTGGCATAGCGCTTCCTCCCCCCCCCTACCCCCGGTCCCATCCCAAATCCTTATATCCTGATTACTTTCAAGTGCTATATAGTCGTAATGGCTTTGCGCTTTCCCTTGACCTTCCCTTCTCGCGATCTACCACCCAAGGTGCTGAACGACCTGGTAACGATTGCTGTAGACAGAAAGTTGAAGTTCCTTCTTAACCAGGCCCGTCTATAATACTGAAGATGAAGAGGACGATTTTTGGGTTTTACTTAATGTAGAAATATCAAAGTAGACTAGCATTATTAGTCTTTACTATTTCATCATATTTCAGAGTTATTATTTTTACTATTTTCAAAAACTGTGTCGGAGAACAAGTTATGCGTTATAAATTGTTCCAGATTATTTCTTAGATTATCTCATATCAGGCCAGACACGAGACTGTTCAAGATCAAGTACGTTTATTGCGACAATAAAATACATCTCACAGGTAGAGTAACTGAAGCTATTTCTGCACTCAATGAGATTGTTGTGACCACGTTGATGGACTCACCAGATGAGTCTTGAACGTTTCCTCCATGCCCAGTTAAGCTCACCAAGATCACCATTGTGAAGGTCCCAAAGTTCACAGTTTCACACCCATACAACCTTAGATGGTGTTAAATCATTGGGTTTTCGACCACATATCATGATGACTGAATTCACTCATAATAAATTTTGTTCTGACTATTAGGTCTATAATAGTATCAATAAAATGACAAATTGACAGTGTGTGAGTGTAGTTGACACGAGGCTGGTGTGAGGAGAGTGTGTAATAATAATAATAATAATAATAATAATAATAATAATAATAATAATAATAATAATAGTACACAGAGAGTAGTCTCACTAACGTGACTGCATGAATGAAAAAATCCGTAGCAGCCGTGATAAGGATTCGAACCTATGTGATGGGTAGTCCCACGCACACACGCCCCAGACAATTAGACTACGACATGGTCAAAAGGATTGCAACCTGGAGTTGAACTGAACCTAAGAGGATTTCCTGAGGCTTCTACTGAAGCCGGAACAGGATTATCCTACAATCCTCCCCATGCACCCTGGCTCTGTCATCTAGTGATGTTCTACCTCTGACGCTCTTCTAAGAAGCGTCAAGGAAAGTAGTAGAAGCCTCAGAAAATCCTCGTGTATTCAGTAGAACTTCAGGTCGCAATCCTTTTTACCATCCCGTGGTCTAGTCGCTAGCTAGAGCGTGTGTGTGAGAACACAGGTTCGAGCCCTTATCACGGCTCCTACGGATTTTCTCATTGATGCAGTTACGTTATATTGCAGTGATTACTCCGTGTAATAACACTAATATAATCATTAATAATAATAAGTGTACAAACTTTGCCGTTAATAATTAAATGTTCGAAAAACATTTTGGAAAATATTATACAAGTCATTAAGTGCATATGGTAATATACTGTTAGATATATACCCAGAGCGGAGTATCCCGCTTTTCGGTGTATATACACAGAGTATACTTCATTCCTGAACTAAGTTTAAGGCAAAACTATACTTGCTGGATGGTCAGTAAGCTCTTGTGGACTGCGAGTGGCCCCAACACAAAGACCATATGGTATATATTCCCAGTAAACTGTATAGTGTGTAATTATTCTTAAGTGTATCCAACATAAAACCTGTTCTCCGTAGCGGGGTTGACTATGCTGTCCAGCATCAAACTTGAAGCTTGCTTGTGCTTCAGGAAGCTTGCTTACTCTTCAGGAAGCGTACTTACTCTTCAGGAAGCTTACTTACTCTTCAGGAAGCTTACTTATGCTTCAGGAAGCTTACTTACTCTTCAGGAAGCTTACTTACTCTTCAGGAAGCTTACTTATGCTTCAGGAAGCTTACTTATGCTTCAGGAAGCTTACTTATGCTTCAGGAAGCTTACTTATGCTTCAGGAAGCTTACTTATGCTTCAGGAAGCTTACTTATGCTTCAGGAAGCTTACTTATGCTTCAGGAAGCTTACTTACTCTTCAGGAAGCTTACTTACTCTTCAGGAAGCTTACTTACTCTTCAGGAAGCTTACTTATGCTTCAGGAAGCTTACTTACGCTTCAGGAAGCTTACTTACGCTTCAGGAAGCTTACTTACGCTTCAGGAAGCTTACTTATGCTTCAGGAAGCTTCAGGAAGCTTACTTATGCTTCAGGAAGCTTACTTATGCTTCAGGAAGCTTACTTATGCTTCAGGAAGCTTACTTATGCTTCAGGAAGCTTACTTATGCTTCAGGAAGCTTACTTATGCTTCAGGAAGCTTACTTATGCTTCAGGAAGCTTACATACTCTTCAGGAAGCTTACTTACTCTTCAGGAAGCTTACTTACACTTCAGGAAGCTTACTTATGCTTCGTGAAGCTTACACTTCAGGAACTAACACTTCAGGAAGCTTACTTACGCTTCAGGATCTTACTTACACTTCAGGAAGCTTACTTACGCTTCAGGGAGAGATACCAACGTAACTTTAATGTCGATGCACTGGCAAGAATCTATCTTAACTTAATCACTGTTGGACAAAATTGTGTTTAAGATGAAACAAAGATTTGACAAAATTTATGTTATTATTATTATTATTATTATTTTGTGGGTTAGTATTTGTGATAAGAGCAGAGCTGAACACAGCAACTTCCCGTGACAGCAAAACTGACGTTGAAATTTCACAGAATTCGATAAAGTCAGAAACATTTTGGCTCTGAGAGTTCTTCCTGTACTTGTGGTCAATCTCGAACCCATTGTTGATGTGACGACTTATATTGAATTTTGTAACTAGTTCATCAAGATTGTAACTTGCTTAGCTAAATGAATTGTGGGGTTCGGTCCCTGAGCCCATTATGTGCCTCTGTAACCCTTTCCACTACCGCCCACAAGATGGGTATGGGTGCATAATAAATGAACTAAACTAAAAGAGTTCTTCCTCCTTCCGGCTGATAGAGACACGGCTCCTCGCTGCTCATGACGTCACCAGTAGGGTCTAAGAAGTTCCCAAAAAGTAAAGCGTCATTCGTCATGGGGTGTGACGTCACTTATACAGTGACGTCAACAGTAGTGACGTCACACAATTACAGCTACGTACACAAACAATTACTAATTGCTCCGTTATATTCCTGGACTTACCAGGGTATATCAACCGTAAGAATGGGCAAAGGCTATTCTGAGCCTTTAAATCCAATGGGATGAAAATACAAGGTTGTTTCAGCGATGAAATATGTATTTAAATAACTGGCATAGGCTCTGAACCCTGTGGAAAATTCCACCGCTCAACGCCGTCTTAACTCTTTAAAAAACTTTACCAACTAACCGAATCTTATTTATCCTATGCAAGCCTGACTAAAATTAGGATATAATCTGTTAATTAACCCACCTATATATATACAAGCATATATGAATAGAGTATTTCACTTCATTTGAATTGTATATATGTATACGTGTGGTATTATTATTGTGACTTTTTTTTTTTTTGCAGGGATATTCCTGCGCGGGCCCTATGCCTCTGGCTGGCCCCACTGGGCGGGCCCTTAGCCTCTGACTGGCCCACTGGGCGGTCCCTAAGCCTCTGACTGGCCCACTGGGCGGGCCCTATGCCTCTGGCTGGCCCCACTGGGCGGGCCCTAAGCCTCTGACTGGCCCACTGGGCGGGCCCTAAGCCTCTGACTGGCCCCACTGGGCGGGCCCTAAGCCTCTGAACTTTTTCCAGCATCGTCTTGTGCTTAACAAGGTACGGGCTCCATGCTGAAGCGGCATACTCCAGGATTGGTCTTACATATGTGGTATACAGGGTTCTGAATGATTCCTTACACAGGTTCCTAAAGGCTGTTCTGGTGTTAGCCAGCCTCGCGTATGTTACGAGGTGTGTATGCTGTGTGTGTGTGTGTGTGTGTGTGTGTGTGTGTGTGTGTGTGTGTGTGTGTGTGTGTGTGTGTGTGTGTGTGTGTGTGTGTGTGTGTGTATTTTAAAACACAAGTCGAGAATTAGGATTTTAATAATCACATATATACATATTAGCCAAATATGTTGAAATAATTTAGTACTCACAACAACGTTTCAGTGTCAATATATGTTTATAAAACAATATTTTTATGTCATGTGCCTGCTTATAAATCATAGGCTACACAAAATTATATAAAATGTTATATATAACTTATATAAGGCTCCTTATTCTAAGTTAATGCTATATGATTTGCCACATTTTCATTTCATGAATATAAGGTACAAAGTGTTTTTCAGCTGTACAGCTGTTGTCTCCAGCCACAGCTGTACAGCTGTTGTCTCCAGCCACAGCTGTACAACTGTTGTCTCCAGCCACAGCTGTACAACTGTTGGCTCCAGCCACAGCTGTACAGCTGTTGGCTCCAGCCACAGCTGTACAGCTGTTGGCTCCAGCCACAGCTGTACAGCTGTTGGCTCCAGCCACAGCTGTACAGCTGTTGGCTCCAGCCACAGCTGTACAGCTGTTGGCTCCAGCCACAGCTGTACAGCTGTTGGCTCCAGCCACAGCTGTACAGCTGTACAGCTGTAGGCTCCAGCCACAGCTGTACAGCTGTTGTCTCCAGCCACAGCTGTACAGCTGTTGGCTCCAGCCACAGCTGTACAGCTGTTGTCTCCAGCCACAGCTGTACAGCTGTTGTCTCCAGCCACAGCTGTACAGCTGTTGTCTCCAGCCACAGATGTACAGCTGTTGTCTCCAGCCACAGATGTACAGCTGTTGTCTCCAGCCACAGATGTACAGCTGTTGGCTCCAGCCACAGATGTATAGCTGTTTTCTCCAGCCACAGCTGTTGTCTCCAGCCACAGCTGTACAGCTGTTGTCTCCAGCCACAGATGTACAGCTGTTGTCCCCAGCCAAAGCTGTACAGTTGTTGGCTCCAGCCATAGTTGTACAGCTGTTGTCTCCAGCCAAAGCTGTACAGCTGTTGTCTCCTGCCACAGCTGTACCTTGGGTGACACACAGCCTCCACTGTCAGGCAGGAGAGACAACACACAAGTCCTTTGATAAAACCATTGGAGCAGGGCGGTGGAATCGAAGCCCCTGTTGCTCCAACGATCATCTCGTAGACACACGTTAATGTGATTTCACTGTGAATGAGTTCTTTCTTCTAGTCAACTCCGCTCATGAATGTAAGCGGTTGTCACCAGGACTGTCCTCAGGCAGGTCTTCGTAGCAGTAGGTGGCGACGGGGAGATCATTCACCATCAGCATGTTGGGGCGGCATCGCCAGTTGTCGGAGGGGGCGCAGGTGGCGTTGTAAATGGTGACCTCCTTCACCTTCACCTCCGTGAAGGTGAAGGGGCAAGGCCTCGTGTTCCATTTCCCCTGAGGAAACAAGTTTCGTGTCCATTACATCACATCCATTATATCCAACCCGTCCTCCTATTTAGACAGTACCTATTGTGACGGTTGTCTATAGTCACGAATTCGTAAGTACTTAGCTTTTAGATAGTAGTATACTGACTAGTAAGGAATTCTTTTAAAATAAACAAAGATTAAAAACAATGTGTGTGCCAAGTATAGCACACATATGTACTATATTACGCCTCAGATATCGTGTATTAGACCTAGGAAAGTTAGGCTAGGTTAGTTTACTTTGTCAAAGCAACACAGGTAAACACTAGTTTTCAGGTTTGTCCATCTCAATAGTTTAAATTTCTACTTTCTAATTTCGTTGTACGTCAGTATATATAGTACGGTCCTCATCGATACTATAAGTACAACCACAACAGGAGGATGGGCTGCTATATCACACACTGGAGAGAAGATTATTGTCAAATGTTATCATAGCAAAGCTTTTGGGTACCATAGCTGGCATTGAGGAAGTGTGTAGACATTTATGGGAGCCTGCAGAGTAGAGAAGAAGAGCAGCGTAGAGTAGGGTAGAGCAGAGTAGATAATTATTTTTATTTATCAGGGGAAAGCGTCAATCCATTACGACTTTATAGCACTTGGAAGGGGTCAGGATAATGATTTGGGGACAGAGTAAAGAAGCAGACAATCAGTACTAACTCTTGTCTGGAAACTGCATTACAAATAAATTCTTTGCTTCTGTTTAGACAATACATGGTCTCAATACCAGGCATTCCTGTCTTATCTAGGCTCGTCAAGTGTAATTGTCCACTATCAACACTGGACAAATGTTGTCCTCTAGTTAACGATAAAGAAGATATCTGAGAACTTAGAAATCGAAGATAACATATCAGGGAGAATGTTGTTTTAGAGAACTAGCCGGAGATTATTCAGTTATACCAATTCATTGGCATAATAATTCAGGGTGTTAGACAGAGGGAGAAGGGTGGAAAACACACACTGAAACACTAACACGCAGGCATACACTAGGGCACTAGCAATCAGGCATACACTAGGGCACTAGCAATCAGGCATACACTAGGGCAATAGCAATCAGGCATACACTAGGGCACTAGCAATCAGGCATACACTAGGGCACTAGCAATCAGGCATACACTAGGGCACTAGCAATCAGGCATACACTAGGGCACTAGCAATCAGGCATACAGTAGGGCACTAGCAATCAGGCATACCCTAGGGCACTAGCAATCAGGCATACACTAGGGCACTAGCAGGCATCAGGCATACAGGCATACAATAAGAGCGTGAGACGCCCAATAAGGACATTACCAAACAAAGTTTGTGTGTGGACATACCATGGGTTTAGAGAGGTTATGCTGCCTGTACGAACATGCCTTGTGTACGTCCCAGTCTCCGCCAACTGTGTACAGAAAGAGGTTGTTGTTTTAGAGTCAGTTACTGGGAACAAAAAGTTCCAAGTAGCATGGGCTATGGTGAGCCCTAGTGGAGTTACCTGGCACAAGAGTGGGGCTGTAACAGGGAAAAAGGAGTCGGCAAGAGACAGTTGTAGCGGTATTATGGACGTGTTCGGCCAGCGGGTTATGTTTCCTCTCGTCGACGTGTTCGGCCAGCGGCTTAGGCTTCCTCTCGTCGATGTGTTCGGCCGGCGGCTTAGGCTTCCTCTCGTCGACGTGTTCGGCCAGCGGCTTAGGCTTCCTCTCGTCGACGTGTTCAGCCAGCGGCTTAGGCTTCCTCTCGTCGACGTGTTCAGCCAGCGGCTTAGGCTTCCTCTCGTCGACGTGTTCAGCCAGCGGCTTAGGCTTCCTCTCGTCGACGTGTTCAACCAGCGGCTTAGGCTTCCTCTCGTCGACGTGTTCAACCAGCGGCTTAGGCTTCCTCTCGTCGATGTGTTCGGCCAGCGGCTTAGGCTTCCTCTCGTCGACGTGTTCAACCAGCGACTTAGGCTTCCTCTCGTCGACGTATTCAACCAGCGGCTTAGGCTTCCTCTCGTCGACGTGTTCAACCAGCGGCTTAGGCTTCCTCTCGTCGACGTGTTCAACCAGCGGCTTAGGCTTCCTCTCGTCGACGTGTTCAACCAGCGGCTTAGGCTTCCTCTCGTCGACGTGTTCAACCAGCGGCTTAGGCTTCCTCTCGTCGACGTGTTCAACCAGCGGCTTAGGCTTCCTCTCGTCGACGTGTTCAACCAGCGGCTTAGGCTTCCTCTCGTCTTCAACCAGCGGCTTAGGCTTCCTCTCGTCGACGTGTTCAACCAGCGGCTTAGGCTTCCTCTCGTCGACGTGTTCAACCAGCGGCTTAGGCTTCCTCTCGTCGACGTGTTCAACCAGCGGCTTAGGCTTCCTCTCGTCGATGTGTTCGGCCAGCGGCTTAGGCTTCCTCTCGTCGACGTGTTCAACCAGCGACTTAGGCTTCCTCTTGTCGACGTATTCAACCAGCGGCTTAGGCTTCCTCTCGTCGACGTGTTCAACCAGCGGCTTAGGCTTCCTCTCGTCGACGTGTTCAACCAGCGGCTTAGGCTTCCTCTCGTCGACGTGTTCAACCAGCGGCTTAGGCTTCGTAGGAGGCTCTGCCAGCCATGTGTTATTATCTTGTGACATCCTGACCCCACCGGGCCCAGACTCAACAGTGTGCAGTGTGAACAGCCTGGGAAGGTGTGAGGGTGGCGGGAAGTGTCCAGGGTGAACTATCGCAACCAAAAACAATCAAACAAGTGGATTGGCAGTGTGGAATCGTTTGAACTGCAGTGAGGGCCAACAAGGGCGCCCTGAGGGGCTCCCTCGGTTATGGTGGTGGGGGTGGGGGGGGTGGGGTGGTGTTGTGCGGCCAGTCGAGGGGGGTGACCAGTGTGTAAGTGTTTATGAAAATATCCCTGAAAAATAGATACCTCGGCTCCCGGGAAACAGATATCGTGTTTTAAGTGCATCGAGTCCACAGTGAACCAGATTATATTGTGCAGTGATATATCACGAAATTACACAAACGTGTTAGTGTCACCCGTCTGACCCCCCCCCCCATACCCGCTAGTGTGTACCGTCACCCAACCCAAGAGTCACCCTCTCCCCCCTGCCCCACCCCCAACCGCGACCGCTACCTCCCTGTGTCCACCCCCTCACGCTACTTCCGCCCGGCGCCCGCCCGGCGCCCGCCCAGCGCCTGCACAGTGCCCGCCCAGCGCCCGCCGATGTCGCAGGTCACGACTGACAGCCAGGCTTCTCTCAGCCAAGAGGAGTCATCAATCGACGACAGGTATGGCACATGCCAAGTGTGCGACAAAGTGTGGAGACTCAAGCGTAACGGAGATGTGCGCAAGCATGCTCACAACGGAACCGATTGTCCGGGTATGTGGCGCCCTCCCAAGGAGGGTATCAATCAAGGCCCCACTCCAGCAGTCAGGGAAAACACCTCCAACAGCTTCATTTCGACTGAGAATCTACTAAACGCCATCAAAGCAACATCGGTTGGAACCTTGTAGCACATCCCCAAAGCTGCCCGGCCCCAGGCAGCAGCCAAACTATCCAGCCTCTTGAAAAAGGTCAATGACTTCCCCGTAACTATCCAAGCATGGCGCAACCTTCTCCTGTTTGGAAACATATGCCTAGCTGTCCCTGCAAGGAGAGACAAATCACTACCTTCGTCGGTCATTATGGCTATAAATAGCTTTCCTAGAGAGGACAACCAGGCACCCCTCCCCACCTGTGCCAAAAACACCCCCGGCAGGAAAGGTATCAACAGCAGAACCGAGGCATCCAAAATCAGAGCAACAGTCAGCAAGAAAATACAAGAAGGCAACACAATAGGGGCGATCAGAGTCATCACCAGTGACGACACAGTTGCCACCAGGGATGCCCATACAGCACAAGCCCTGAGGGAAAAACACCCACCCAGAGCTCCTGTCGTCACGAGGAGCTCTGTGTCTATATATATATATATATATATATATATATATTATATATATATATATATATATATATATATATATATATATATATATATATATATATATATATATATATATATATATATATATATATATATATATATATATATATATATATATATATATATATAGGGGGGTACCACCACTGGTGCAATTATAGGGACCCACAGCCTCAGAGAAGGGAACGCAGAGCACTCAGGGAAAAACTTGCCATTTAACTCTGAATACGAGTGTTCACTTCTCCTACCACCCCCTTTTTTTTATTATGATGTACACTTTATTATGCAAGGTTATACAGTTACATATCTGATTTTATACAAAAAATGAACATTAAGAGGACACAAGAAAAAGTTCGCTTCCTAGAGGCTGTAGATTTCCTCGAACTCCTCCGACGCCGGGCAGGAACCGAGGATGCAGCGGGCATTTCCCCTCTGGATTGCGACACTGAGGCGCTGAAAGAGAAAACTTGCTGCTCTAGGGTCTCTTGTGGTGTCAATGAGCTTGGAACCAAGATCCTTAAGAAACCTTCTTGCACTCTCTCCCCATGGGCCTAGGGTCTCAGAACCTATTGGAACGAAGTTGTACCTTTGATCTAATTGCCTGTACTTGACTGACTTTTGTTTTTCTCTGTGTGTCGCTGCGGCTCCTGCTGTGCCGGCAGAGAGGGTGATGTATGTCGTTGCCAGGGTGGATACGCAAGTATAGTCCCATGCTAACTGCCTGCCACCCTTCCATGGACGCAGTGTGATTCCGTCTGGTCGGCCGGCAAAGCTAACAGAGTCACGGTTCAGTAGGTTGCGGGGCTCTCTCTCTGCTGGACACTGAGCAGAGGCAAGGCTTCTTTTAATGATGTCGTTGACTTCGTCGTGTCTAGTGTGCCAACCACCCGATTTTCCACAGTGCAGGCCATGCAATCCATATTCGTCAGCATCTGCCTCGCCGCAAATACACCTGTGAACAGTGTGGATAGGGGCAGCAAGGCGGAGAGCGACTGCAATACGGAGCTCCTGCGGATCAAGACGTGTGCCTGTCGCAGACATAGGGACTGCCACAAGGAAGTCCCCTGCATGGGGAGCCTGCACAGCTGTGAGGCGTGCACGATCACTGGGGGTTGTTGCTGTTATATATATGTATAAATGTATAAATATATATATATATAAATATAATATATAATATATATATATATATATATATATATATATATATATATGTCGTACCTAGTAGCCAGAACGCACTTCTCAGCCTACTATGCAAGGCCCGATTTGCCTAATAAGCCAAGTTTTCATGAATTAATATATTTTCTCTAATATTTTTCTTATGAAATGATAAAGCTACCCATTTCATTATGTATGAGGTCAATTTTTTTTTATTGAAGTTAAATTAACGTAGCTATATGCCCAAACCTAACCAACCCTACCTAACCTAACCTAACCTATCTTTATAGGTTAGGTTAGGTTAGGTAGCCGAAAAGGTTAGGTTAGGTAGGTTAGGTAGTCGAAAAACAATTCATGAAAACTTGGCTTATTAGGCAAATTGGGCCTTGCATAGTAGGCTGAGAAGTGCGTTCTGGCTATTAGGTACGACATACATACATATATATACATACATATATATATATACATATTATATATATATATATATATATATATATATATATATATATATATATATATATATATATATATATATATATATATATATATATATATATATATATATATATATATATATATATATATATATATATATATATATATATATATATATATATATATATAGCGTTTAAGGCAGGTCCTTAATCCCATTTTTCCTGGGATACGACCACCCAAAAAAACATTTAACAACTAAGTAACTATGTTACTGTTGAGTTAAACAGAGGCTACATTTAATGATTTACGCACAGTAAATCCTCCTCGGTCAGGATACGAACCCAGGACAAAGCACTCGCGAAACGCCAGGCGGTCGTCTTAACCCAACAGGGACTGCTGACATGTATTCCGAAACTTTTTTTCAGCTTTCCTGCTTTTTAAGCGACTCATACCTAGTCAAGTGCAGTCAACATATTATTTGAGTCCAAAAATATTGATAAAGTTGCTGGATGATCTATTTCTGCTTGTTAGTTCAATTATATGTAAAGTTGTGATTCCTACCTGCAATGTTGATCTGCTCACATTGTGTTCATGATGTTTTCCTCATAATGCTCCCAGAGTTGAATATATGATCTGCAACATTAAAGAAATGTTTGCACCCAAAGCCATATCTATGATGCCTCATTTAAACAAAAGTTAGTGAACTAATTGACAATAAACTTATTACAACAAATGAAGAATATATTTTGAGACACCGATGTCAAAGTTTTTTCTTACCTCTGTTCTAACAGGCAGTCATAGGATGCATGATCAAGTATACGTTTCATAGCATATAATATATCCAAGCCATGCCAAGTCTTCAGTTTATGAAGTCATGACCCCCTCCCCGCTCGGCTCGTTGTCGCCGTGTGGGGGCTTAGTGGGCGGCTGCCGGAGTGTGATGCTCCTTGGGACAGTCCTCTGTCCTTTCTAGCCTTGTGCTCCTGCTGCCGTCCTCTCCAATTCTGCTGGGCATCTTTTCCTTTTCCTTCTGTTTCGTTTTTCTCCCCCCTCTTCTCCTATCTGCTTGCCGTTTCCTACTGACCTTTTGCTCGTTCTGGTTCTTCCCTTGGACTACTTCTATTTTGACGCCCGGGTGCTTGAGGAGGCATACTCATGCACCCGTAGAACTGCAGTACCCGACGTCGAGAGCGAGGGGAACCTTTTATTGTCAATCCCCACTTCGTCACTGAACCCGATTTCGACGGACTGTCGGTTTCTTAAGGTGGCGTTTGTGGGGCGTATACTCGCGACGCACCCCTAGGAGGCCCCGACAAGATCGGCGATAGCTTCTTGTTGGGTGTCCTGCCTCTAATTGTGGCTCCATGGTGGGTGTGGGGGCACATTCGTGAGTGAATTCTTTCTTTCGTCAAGATGATTACCCCTGCTTCGGCTTCTTCTGGTTTACCTTCTCAGGCTCGTGGGGTGGGCGACCAAGCCCCCGAGTCGGTCCGTATTGGAAGACCGGGCTCTGTAGCCTCCGCTGCATTGGGCCCCGACCTTGCTCCTCCTTTGGCCTCTCTGACTCCTTCCTCTGGCTCCCCTCCCTCCTCTGTGGTTGGGTCGAGCCCCAAGCCCCCAGTGGTGACTACCTCGTATCCTGGCGCGGCTCCTTCTCTAGTTGTAACTACTGCGCCTTTTAACCCCTCTCTCTCTGGGGGTTCTCACCGCCGTCCTCGTCACAGCCGCCCTCGCTCGATTCCTTCCAGTTCTGCTACCTATCAAGCCTTGTTTGGTCCCGCTTCGTGGGCCAAATATTTTGATCTCCTCCCTCTTGATTCTGTGCCTCCTGACGATTTCTCCCTCCATCGACATCTCATTGATTCCGTGGATGCCTCCATTACTTTCAACCCCACTCGTCTCGGTACACGTGTCGTTGCTGCTCCTTCTCAGGATGCTGCTTCCCGCTTGGCTGCCTTATCCTGCCTTGGCGAGACCCCCGTTCGGGTCTCTAAGAACGTTCAGTTGAATGCCAGCGTTGGCACTATTTTGCTCCCGCCCCATGTTGCGACCGGTGTTCGGGACCTGCGCG